GGGCGTGGTAGCGCGTGCCTGTAATTCCGGCTACTTGGAAGGCTGAGGCGGAAGGATCGTCGGAGCCCAGCAGGTCGAGGTTGCAGTGGCCGGGAGCGACCACTGCACTCCAGTCTGGGCGACAGAGTGAGACTCCAACTCAAAAAAAAAAAATGTGGCTGCACCAGGTATGGTGGCTCACGCCTGTAATCCCAGCACTTTAGGAGGCAGAGGTGAGAGGATTGTCTGAATCCAGGGGTTTGAGAAAGGCCTGGGCAACTTGGTGAGACCTCGTATCTACAATGAAGCAAAAACAGCCAGGCATGGTAGTGTGTGTCTGTGGTTCCAGCTACTTGGAAGACTGAGGTGGAAGGATCACCTGAGCCCAGCAGGTCAAGGTTGTGGTGGCCACTGCACTCCAACCTGGATGACAGAGACTCCAACTCAAAAATAAAAAAAAAAAACAAAAATGTGGCTACTAGAAAATTTTAAATGACAAAAATGGCTTGCATTTGTGGCTCAGATTGTATTTCTACTGGACAACACTGCTTTATAACCATGGTAGAATCTTGCCACAAACAACAAGAGGCAAATCAGAACTCCAGTGACTAACCAGCTTGTCAGTCTCCTGTGAGGTTGGCCAGAGGGAGCTGTCCCACCCTCACTGCTGTCTGAGTAGCCTAGTATCCTGAGAGTCTGACTCTGGACTATGGGGCCACACCCAGACCCTGCCTCAAGCTGTGGACAGGCCTCTGTCTGGGATGTGGCCTGCACTGGGGCCTCACTTGTACTGTCACTGGTTGCTTCCTCCTTCACTCTCTCTGACCTCCCTAATGGACCACGTGGGCAGGAACTATGAATCCCATTTCCTTTCTGTCTTTGGCAGAATCCTGCCCAAGTCAAGTAGAGGCTTGGACGTTCTCTGTGCTAAACAGCTCTCATTCCCTGCTCTTCCCTAAACCTCCCTGCAAGCACTGGTTCAGACCCTGGTCACTTGCCTGGACTGCTGCAGCAGCCTGTGAATCATTCCCAGGCTCCTAGTCTTTCTCTCTGTCGAGCACCTGGGTTTTCTCTCTGAGACACAACCCCAAACCATGAGGCCCTTGCTTCAGTCACCTCAGTGACCAGCACTGCTCCTCCTCCAGTACTGCTGACAGTGTGATAGGGAAGGGGTGCAAGGAAGGGTTTGTGTGCAGTTGCAGAACACCTTTCTTTCTTATGCTCCTTATTCCTTTTGTTTGTTTTTGGATAGGAGTCTCACCCTGTTGCCCAGGCTGGAGTGCAGTGGCACTCACAGCCACCACAGCCTCGACCTGCTGGGCTCAGGTGATCCTTCCTCCTCAGCCTTCCTAGTAGCTTGAACCACAGGCATGTGCCACCACGCCCGGCTAATTTTTTGATTTATTGTAGAGATGAGGTCTCGCCAAGTAGCCCAGGCTGATCTCAAACTCCTGGACATAGGCAATCCTCTCGCCTCTGCCTTCCAAAGTGCTGGGATCATAGGCATGAGCCACCACTCCCAGCCATGTTCCCCATTCCTTTCAAAAGGTAGGAACGCCAAGAACCTCAGAATAGAAGAACTTGGTAAAATAATTCTAGCAGTAGTGCAGTCATTTTAGTTTCAACTGTAGTCCTGATGCAGTTTGCTAATTAGCCAATTCTTTTACCTCTTAATCAGTAGCAAGAAGTAAAACTGGCCTCCCAGGGTTAGGAATTAAGCATGTCTAGTCTTGTTTTTCTAGGCATCTATGCTTCCAGCAATGACGTACTGTTATCAGTCTCTGTAACCAGCCTCTGGCCCACCACCTAGAGTCACAAGATACCAGTGCCTGGGGATGACTTAGAAACAAGACTTATGTGATTTCTGTTACCTATCTACCTCAAAGACTGCAACCTTCGGACTTTTCTTCTAGCCCCAGAAGAGCCTTAAATATACCCAGCTCCCCAGCCTTCAAGGCCATGCTCACCTGAGTGCTGACCCCTGTCTGTGGAAAGTAAGTAATAAACTGTGTCTGTGTTACAAATCTTTGCCTCTCTCCCACAGCTCTGGCCCACCCTGCCTGCGTTTACCCTTTCACCTCTATTGACTTTTTCAGTGGACATCAATTGCACTTGCAATCAGAAAAGGTAACAGTTAAAAGCAACCTTAAATCTCTCAATCTCCC